GCAAGACCCTGGGACTGAAAGAGATGCACAGGATGTGGTGAGTCAGGGGCTGCTGTCACTCTTCCGGGTTCCCACCCATATAGATCCACAGCAAGGGGACAGCCCCACCCTGGGCCTGGCTCTGGGTTTTTCCATGATGAGGGCTCAGGGTACTCTTCTCCTTTCAGAAGATGCTAGGTTCAGATCTGGGGTCTCTTCTCACTGCCAGGACCCTCTGCCTGGTCTGCACTCCTGCTCAGAGATGGTGGGACCCAGGCTCTGGTCCTCAGTTCGACTCTGATTGCCTTGCTGTAAGTAGGACAATCACTTACTTTTCTCAGCCCTCCACAAGTGAAATAGAGTTTTCAACTTTGACTAGTCAAGGAACAAATAATTAGTGATCACCTACTCTCTGCCAGGTATTTGTACCAGAACCAGAAATACATCTGTGATCCAGGAGACCCACTTCCTGTTTTTTAAAACTCTGATTAGAAGAATATGGGAAGTCTAAAGCTAATCTTTTAATTAAATTATTTGCAAAGGAGGAATAAGTGAAAATGTATGAACAACTGGTGACCATGACTAGAAGAACTATGGTTGGGGGAATGGGTGTCTGAAGAGGCAGAAGCTAAACAGGTGAATTAGAGAACATTCTAGAGAGGAAGAAACATTCCAGAGAACCCTCAAGACATGGAGACTGTCTGAAAGGGAGGCAGAGAGGTTGAGGTGGTGGCTGGTCATGTGGGTGTTGTCCATGGTGCATGGATGTTGGATCACATCTGTAGGACAAGGGGAGTATGTGAGGAATGGACTGTGATGGACAGCTTGTGTCATCAAAGTCCTATGTGCCCTGTGTCACAAAAGGACTGGAGACATGCAGTATTTGTTAGGAAAAAGGAAATATCAGTATTTGCTGAACTCCAACAGTGTGTCTTCAACTATGTTCCATAAATATCTTTCCTGAATATATCACATGATTCTCACATACCCAGTCATGAACACATTTAGAGTCATGAACACCTTTAGAGAAGAGAAATAAAAAGATGCTAGCCCATTGGTATTTCTCATTCTGTGACTATCTCTGGGGGCTTGGAGTGATTACTGGGTCTACATGGCTCTAGAACAGCCTATATGAAAAAAAGAGAGAAGTATGGAGTGGGAGATTATGTGTGAGTCTGTGTGAGTAGATAGTGTAAACATGTGTATGCATGTGAATGTGCATGTTTGGATCTGAGTATGTGTGTGTGAATTTATATGTATAGATTTGTGTGTGTATAAGTGCATGTGCCTGTGACTGCATGTTCTCACAGGTAACTGCATGTGTCTTGTTGAGGGAAACAAGTGTGAGCTGAGGATGGAGGGTCACATCTGGATGATCATGAATAGTTTTCAGTTCAGTAAGAATTGTCTGGATTTGTTCTGAAGACCGTGAGGACCATGGAAGAATTTTCAGCAGAAAATGGGCAGATTTTGAAACTGAAGTTAGACTCATATGTGAATGGTGAACAGGAGAAGGGAATGAGGACTTAGAGCTCAGAATCCAGGCAGGTGGTGGATGTGGCCACTGCCTTGGGGACAAGAATGGTGACCTTCCCTCTCTGCCTCATTGACTGCAGACCCCAAAGAGCCCTCATGACAGTGAGCCATGGGGAGGGGAAGGGACGAGCCTGGGGTCTGTGCAAACACTCTGCTTCAGCAGGAGAGCTCAGCACTCCCTCCTGGCCCTGGAACGCAGGGTCTGCATCTCACACTGTTTCCACCTGAGTCTGTGTCTCTGTGAGAAGTGGGCTCTTTCTCTCTCCCTCTCTTTGGGGTGAACCATTTGGGTCATTTCTGCTTCTTCAGAGCACTTTTGATGCTGGGGTTCACTCTCCTCTTCAACCTCTGGACAGTCTTCAGTATTCAGACAAGAATGACATTCATGAGGGTTTTCATTAGAAGGCAGTAAAGACAAACACACATAGACACACACACACACTTTAAATACCAATTATTGCAATACCATCTCCTGAATGGCTGAAGGACCCTTGAGCAGCCTGCTTCCTCTGTTGCTGTCACTTCCCTCATTTATAGCCCAGTGGTACCAGCCCCACCCCTACAGACGTGGTCAGAATTCACCTTATTTAAGATATGGCGGGAAGGAAACCAGACATTCATATCTACATGGAGACATTGGAGGTTTCAGAACCTGAAAAGCAGAGATACCTTGACCAGTGAAGGAAGGATCGGAATCAGACCATAGTGCGGGGACAAATGATCATGACAGGGACCATCCAAGTGCAGGGAGCAGACTGTAGACATATGACCACATGGTGCAGGGCCAGCTGGGGGAGTCTGGGGAACACAACTGACTTCATACCTGCCTTACTCCATTAACCTTTCTTCTTTACTTCCAACCCTGCCATGTTGTGCTGTACTTACAGCTAAAATGTATATATTGCTCATTAATTACTATTTTTAAAAGATTTTTATTGATTCATTTTTAGGGAGTGGGGAAGAGAGTGAGAAAGAGAGGGAGAGAAACATCTATGTGTGGTTGTGTCTCTCACACCCCCCACTGGGGACCTGGCCCACAACCCAGGCATGTGTCCTGACTGGGAATCAAACCAGAGACCCTTTAGTTCACAGGCCAGTACTCAGTCCACTGAACCACACTAGCCAGGGCCTATTCTTGAAAACTTACTGAAGCTAATGCCTTCCAATCTGTTTGCAGCCTGCCAGACACCTGCCCAGGGGCCAGATATCCTGGAGGTAAGAGGAGGGAAGACACGGTTTTGTGAGGGGCATCCCACCCGTCCAGGCCCAGCCTGTCCTCCAAAGGAATAAAGCTGCAGGGGGGTTCCTGCACTGGAGCCAGGCGGAGGTGGAACCAGGGCACTCCAGTAATATTTTTACCACAGTGTCATTGCGTGTTTTCAAGGCATTGTATGGGGTCCATTTGTGGTCCCCCACCCACTGCAGCCCAGGATGCCAGGATCTGGGTTAGAGAAGGGGGTGACAGTGTCTCACAGCAAAGGCTATTTTCCAGGCTTGGTGTCCTAAAGCATCAACTCAGGGTCTCCCTACCCACAAGGTCCCCTGGACAGAGAGCCATGCTCTCGCACGACCATCTGCCTGGTTGTGCTTGGACTCACACCCTGATTCCCCACACACACCCATGCTCACAAGCACAGACAGAAACCCAGACACACTCACCCCCACCCCCAAGCCTGCCCGCATGTCCAGGAAACAGCAAGCTCGCCTTTTCTGTGGTATGAACGTTAGAATAACAACAGCGGGGTTTGCGGACAGTTGTCTCTGTGGGCCTTCCTGTGTGAGCATGCAGAGAGCAAACCATGGTGACCTTATAAGGGACACTGCCATTTTTGAAAATGTCACTCGTCTTTGATAAGGTACTGGAGTGTACACTGTTAGGGACAGTAAGTTTCCATAACTGCCTGTGATGATGGAATTACTCAAGTCCCAGAATTGTGTGCACTTTCCTCAAGTTTCATACAACACACGGTCAAGCAGGGCCTGTCACCCAAGCTGGGATGCGTTTCCAGGTCACAGGGTGTTGGGTCCTAAGCTCAGGGCTCTGGTCAGTCCCCAAACACAAGCTGTGTTGTTCCTGGACAGGATGCACTGGGTGGGTTTGTTCAAATGCTCTTTTACAACAAAGGAAGGGAAAAGAAAAGATGTTAAGATTACCAACATCTTCCTAAAACAGTTACAGGTCCCAAATACCTTTTCTAGAAAACAGGCAAATAAACCAACAAAAAAGGGAAATGGGGTCAAAGTAAAATAGCATCATGACTTAGAAGAGAAAGGTGGAGGGGTCAGCAAGACTCTGTCTCCGGGCAGCTGGTAATAAATTTGCCCTTGTCAGTGTGGTCCACTCCGCATGGACTGTGTTAAAGGGTTTTCTCTCTACAGACTTTTGGGGCATCCGGTAACCCTGCTCTGAGGTAGCCACTCAGAAGTTTCCTTTCACTCCCAGTCAGTTCTGTAGCCCACAGGTGAGCCTGCTTCTCACTGGACCGTGGAGCCCACCTTCAAATGATACAGAAACACTGTTCTGCCTAAATACGTCTTCCAGGCTGAGCTTCGTATTTGGAGCTTCCTCTTCCTATGGATTATTGTCTGTCAACACGGTTGTTTTGTATTCAGCATGGTGGACCGTGAGCCCTTACTTGTGTTCCAGGGAAAGGAGAGCATTCACACTGCTTGTGGATCCCCTCACCTCAGGGCTCAGGTGCTGCATGGATGTTAATTTTGCACCTTTACTGCAGCCTGTGGGGGAGCCACGGTGGTCACTATAGGGATTCAGCAAAGCTAAGAGCACAAGACATCCCTGGGGGGGTGGATTCTGGCCAAGATGGATGTATAGGTAGATATATTTTGCCTCCTCGAACAACCAAAAGAAGGACAACAACGAGTTTAAAAACAAAAAATAAGCAGAACTTCCAGAAAATCAAACTGTATGGAAGTCCAACAACCAAGAAGTTAAAAAGGAAACATTCATCCTACCACTAGGAGGGGCAGAGATGGGCAGTTGGGGCAGAGAGGACTCATGGCAAGGTGGTGGCTGGAGGACTGGATGAGGCAGTGGCTGGTGGAGTGGGTGAGGTAAGCAGCGGCTGGTGGAGCAGGCAGTCCCACATGTGCATGCAGATAAACCAGGAGAAACAACTGGGGAGTGAAAGAGACCACGCAACCCAGGGCTCCAGTACAGGAAAAGAAAGCCTCAAAGCCTCAGGAGAAACTCTCAGCCTCACAGGAGAGTCTGTGGGAAAGACCCACAGGGTCCTAGAATGTGCACAAAAACATCTGATTTGGAATCAGCACCAGAAGGGCCCAACTTGCTTGTGAGTAGCAGAGGAAATGATTGAAAGCCCACTGAGAGCTGAGCAAGCAGCAGTGTTCCCTCTCGGACCCCTCCCCCACATACAACACCACAATATGGTCATGTGGGTTGCCCCACCCTGGTGAATACCTAAGTTTCCGCCCCTTACTATGTAACACTTGTGCCAAGACAAAAAATACGTTCCAAATGAAAAAACAGATCGAAGGTCCAGAAAAAGCTTGGGTGTCCGAGCACATGGACAAAGAGGTTCTCTCAATAGCCACCCTTGGACAAGATTGTCATCCCAGGTTTGTTAAAAACTTCTGCTCAGGGGACAAGCCATGGACCTGCCAGGAGCTTGGCTACTTTGAAGACCTCCTCATTTGATTGGGTGGTGTTGGGGACGGGTGGGTGGACGACTCTCAGAGAGGAAAATGCTTGGTGTGCCCTGTGGTTGGAACATGCTGGAGGCACCATGGCCTTGATGACCCTTGTTCTCGTCAGGGTCCCACAGATCCCTGAGTGGACCCACCACAAGGGTGCACAGGGAGACCTGTGCCAGGATCACAGAGTTCCAAGAATTGTCCTGGTGCTGCTTCATGCACCTCGAGGTCCAGCATGATGGAGTGTGGAGAGCCAGCAAGTAGAAGTCAGCCTGTTGGGCATGTGAGTGTGGTGGCACAGAGCCTCTGGGGACAAGAGTAACTATGACCATGAGGAAGAGATGCTGCAGTGAAAGTAACATCTGTACTGAAATGCTCTAGATATCTAGGAATGTGTCCAGTGGAGAAACAGCACATTCTAACTCCAAGAGCCGAGCAGGATTTTTTATTGTATTTAGCACTCTGTGGGTTGTTTCTGTAAATGCTGATTCAATTAGAAAGTAAAGGAATAAAGGGTAAGACAGGGAGGTCTACAGAATTCAATGTTTGCAGGTGCACTGAGTGCTAAGAACAGATGTATGGATTTTCTCCAGAAGGCAGTGGTCACCAAAAAAAAAAGTGCACAAACAGCAGGTGGAGTCTCAGAATTTGTGGGACACTATACATGGCAGAAATTTTTATGAATTTGAGACATGATAAGACATTCCAGGACATTGACCTTGTTGCTCACATTTCACTAGAGATGGTCATCTCATGACAGATAAGTATGACCATTTCCTGCAGGTCTCTTGCATCACACTGAGACCCACAAGAATGTGGACTCTTTCTTTGTGGGCATCATCAGTCTACAACAGCTATCACACGCTGCAAAGATGACCACTCCTGTAGTTGCTCTGTGGTATATGGCATTCCTAAGTGACATGAATATGCAGTTGCTGAGAACTTGGGTTCAGGCTAGTGTGGCTGGGGAACTAAGGTTACAAATTTATTTAATTGGGTGTTTATCCAAAGAAATGAAACATTAATTTGAAAGGAGACATGCATCCCCATGTTCACTGCAGCATTATTTATAACAATTAAGATATGGAAGCAACCCAGGTGCTCATCAATAGATGAATAGAAAAGAAGTGGTACATATATACAATGCACTATTACTCAGGCATGAAAAATAATAAATTCTGGCCCTTTGGGAAAACATGAATGGTCATAGACTCATTGTGCCAAGTGAAATAATTCAGACAAAGAAAGAAAAATGCCATATTATTTAACCAGAAATTTTTTCTTTTTCCACAGCTTTTTGAGGAATAATAACAGGAATTGTGTATATTTAAGGTGTACATCTTGGTGTTTTGGTATATATGTACACTCTGAAAAGAGCACCACACTCGAAATAGTAGCATATACAACACCTCACACAGTTTCCATTTTTTCTGTGTGTGTGTGGAGAATACAGAAAATTTCCAGTGTGTAATTCATTATTTTTAACTATGATCAGCACTCCGTACATTAGGTTTCCAGAATGTATTTATCATACAACAGAAAGTTTACATGTATTGATCATTATTTTCTTCTTCCAATTCCCAGCCTCTGGTAATCACCACTCTCTCTTATTTTACTTGAGTTCAGATCTCTAAAAAATTTATTCTACATATACAGGAAATCATGCAGCATTTACCTCACTGTGTCTGGCTCATGCCACTCAGCATAATGCCCTCCTGGTGCATCCGTGTTGTCTCAAATGGCAGCACTTCCTGCTTCTTATGGCTGAAGAGTATTCCATTGTGTATCTATACACCATGGCTGCCTTATTCATTGTCTGCTGGTGGAAAACTGACGTGGTTTCATGTCTTTGCTGTCGTGAATCACCCTGTAGTGAACCTGGGAGTGCAGATATCTCTTTGTGATCCTGGTTTCATGTCCTCTGAATTGAAACTCACAGTGAAAGTGCTGGATCCTATAAAAGTTCTAAGAGGTACATGCTGGTAGTTACAGGATAGTCATGGGGATGTTAAGTACAGTCTAGGGAACAGAGTTGCCAAAGACATAGATGCATCATAAACCCATGGACATGGATAACAGTGTGGGGACTGCCTGAGGGACTTGAGGGGTGCTGGGTTGAGGGGGACAAAGGGAAAAACTTGGGACAACTGTAATAGCACAAACAATAACATATAATTAAATAAAGAAAGTTCTATTTTCAATTTTTGAGGAACTCAACACCAGCTGCAGGGTCTGTGGGTGGGCTGGCTGTTCAGAGCCACACATCAATTACCCTGAACCCTCCCCATTTCCTCATTCTCAGCTGCCCCTAGAGGATCCAGCCTGCAGACCCCTCAGCCAGACAGGGGCTGGCTCTTTGGGCAGTGATGGAAAGGCTGTGGGGGAGGGGGCTCCCTTCCTCCCCACCCCCACAGGAGAAATTGCATGTGGAGGGAGTTTCTCCGTGCAGAGCTGGATCTGCAGGTGGGAGGGCTGATGGGGGTAAAGTGAAGCTGTTCTTCTCACCCTTTTCAACGTGATTGTGCTTGGGTTTTTTACTCCACAGGATGCTGGTGCTGGGACTTCATACCTTCACCTCAGAGTGTGAGTGTAGTTTTGTCCATGGATGGTGGTTAAATTGTGGCTTCTGTGGGTGAACAGAGCCCAGACTTCTTATCTTGCCACCATCTTGCTGACTTTGGTCACTGTCATTTTCATGGTCATTCTCCTAATGACTGACCATGGGGGAGCATGTTTTCCTGAGCTCATTTTTCCATTTACAGAGCTTGTCTTCTTTGCAGAATATCTTTTGGGTAGAAATGCCTACTCAAGTACTTTGACCATTTTTATGAGTTGGATTTTTTTTTTGTGCTTGAGTTATAAGTATGCTTTAGGTATTCTGGACCAGATCATTATCAGATATAATTTGAAAATATTTTCTTCAGTTTTGTATGTCACTTTTTTCACTCACTTGATAGTGTTCTTTGATTCACATACATTATTATTTTGATAAAATCTAACTTTTTTTGTTTATTATGCTTTTGGTGTCATTTCTAAGACAATGTAAGTAAGCCCACACTCATGAAGGTTTACCCATTTGATCCTAAGTTTTGTAATACTAGCTGTTATACTGATCCATTTTGAGGTCATTTTGGTGTGGGGTGTGTGGTACATAGCCAACTTCATTCTTTTGCATTTTTTGTACATTCAATTATCCAACACCATTTGTCAACCACCATGGGTCTTATTGATACTGGGTCTGTTTTTTCAAAGTCAGGCACCCAGGGAGTTTCCATCTGGAATGGAATGAAGTCAAGCCTGACCTCAACATCTGGCATCTCCTGCCCACTGCTGCCTTCCCCTGAGTCCTCCCCAGTGGGGTCCAGGAGGAGATGAGGAATCCTGAATACTGTTCAGTCTGCAGCCAAAACCTGTGCGATCCCAAATGAGTGCCTGATGGAGTTGAACCCCATTCTGTGAAATAACCTCCATGTCCATATTGGTGACCTACAAACATCCAGATGGTTGAAGCAACGTGGGATCAGAAGCTGCTGTGGACATTTAACATGGTCAGTTGCATGTCAGGTGGTGATGCACAGGGTGTCTTCTGAGATCCAGTGTCTGCCTCCAGCAGGGACTCCTCATTTGGTTGGACTTAGTGCAGCTGGTGGGGCAGGTGCTGATCGTGTTTTGATGGAACTGTATTGCCAACCCAACACTTTTCCTCTAACACATCAACAGCCATTTTTAGGAAGTGCACAGCTTAGGTTAGCCTATGGACTTTACCACCTTACTTCATGACAGCTCACTAAATTGTGTGAAGATATAGATAAGTCACCAAATAGAAAGGCAGCATTTCCTATAATGAAAACTGGACTTTGAAGTCACCAAATGAAAGTCACAAAGGACATTTGAACAAACCCTCAACATTGCTGTATGTTTAACCCCTAAACAGATCACAAGGGATCTATTTTCACTTTTGTTCGTAGGGCTTCTCTTAGGGGTCTCTGCCTGAGTGACAAATGGCGTCTCTTTCTGAAGGTTGCATAAAGGAATGACCCTGCCTGCCTTCTTTTGAGAATCTTCTTTCATTGACTCACCAGCACGTTTGAAGGTTGACGTGCATTATTTTGGTGATTTAATTTGTGCTTTTGCACTGCCATGCAGTAGGTCATGGTGAACAAATACCACCCATTTTTTTTTTATTCATGGAGTTTTGTGACCTGTGCTTGCTTTATGAGGGTCACACTGGTCCATGTTCTTGTGAGTGCAACTGGTGCCTTCATATACAGCTTCTCCACCATCTGTATGTTATGATTATAACTCTGTGTCCCCTCCTTTTACATAGATAATTCCAATGTACTCCCCAAACAGTTGAAGTAATTTTTACCTCCACCACAAGTGTACTTGAATTCTGCATCCATTTGTCTCAAAATTGATATCTTTTCTCTTGACTGTTGTGTGATTATCTGGGATTCTGTTGTCACAATTTCACTGACACTGCACTCACAATGCAATAGAAATGATCATTATCTAAAAGATGATGAAATGCAGGTCAACAGAGAGCATGTGGGGAGGTGTGGGGCAGATGGCTCTTACTCGGTGGTGACAGTGATTCTGCCATCTCCCAACTCTGTACTCGGTGAAGTCACATTGGCATTTTGGGTTGGTCATGAAGGGAGAATTTACACCACGCTAATTGGCAAACACCACAAGTCAGAAATCTCTAAACAGGTGTTATCAGAGCAGCACACCACCAGGCTGTCCCTTCAAGGGATGATCTTTCTGGGGAAATGGCACACAGGGCATCTCATGGAGACGGTAGGGACTTTGGAAACAGAGAGGGTGGTGGCATCGGTTTGCATCTATCTGACATAGTTCATTTAATCAGTTATTGAATCCATGTTAACCTTGTGAACTCATGAGATATAGATTCAATAATGCTCATCTGGTAATGTGATTAGAAATAAAGAATGTTTTATTACAAAACAGTGGAAGAGGGCATGAGGTTTTTGATGTGTGGACTCTCAATACAGCCATGTGGGAAGGATGCTCATGTGAGAATACAAGGTGGGTCATTACAGACATTTGGCACAGATAAAGAGAGAAAACAGACATTTAATGGAGGAAGAGCCCTGCATAGGGAGCACTCAGACACTCCCTGCACCCAAATCTTGTTCACTGCCCTGGACACATCAGCAGGCAGTCTCCCTACCTGTGGTCCAGACTGTCCTTCACCACCTCCTGGGTCATCAGATGGGCTCCACGACTCCCTCCACTCTGAATGGTGCCCTGTCCCCTCTGTGTTCCCATCCTGGCTGCAGTGTGGGTCTTCCTCTCGCTGTCTCGAGCCTCAAAGGTCAGCACCCCAAGGACCACAAGGACCAATCCAGCCACACCCATTCATATGAGAGTCTTCAGTGTACATCTTGGGGGTGGAAGGTTAGGAAATGTGGGCAAAAAAGTCACAGAAGTCAGAGGAGACCAAAGACACCCTAGGGCCTTGATTGTCCACCCAGGACACCTGCCTCCTTCTGGCAGGACATGACCCTCTGCACCCAGCACCATAACTGAGAGTTTCTCCCACTCCTCATTCCTGGGGTCTGATTTGTTCTGTGATGGGCTGATGCTGTCGGCTGCCCCTGAGGATCATGACATGAGGGTGTGAGTGAGGACTTGGGGAGACACGAGCCTCCCTCCTGGGGTCTGTGCTCCCCGATGCCCCACTTCTCAGACTGTCACTTTCACACAGTCATGTCATGAGCCTGGACTCTACTCTGCCAGGTCCCTGTTTCCTCCTTGGATCATCTCAGCCTGCTGGCATCTCTGGATTCAGAGCTTGTTCTGAGTCACTTCTGTAGGAGCTATACCCGAGAGTTCAGGATGAGGGATGAAAGTGATCTCCATCCAGAAATAAGTAAGAACTGTGTGTTCTGCATTTAGTGGGAGGCACAGAACTTATGAGCTTATTCCCCTACAGCTGAGAGACCCCAGGAACTCAACAGCTGGGGACCCAGGGTGCATGGGGGAGGGGCTGGTGTCAGGGTCTCCTGAGTGTCCTGTCCATGGAAACCCCCTGGGTCCTCTCATTTATTACTGCCTCAGACTCTAGAAGGACAGGGCCCTGGGCTGAGGAACCCCAGAACTAGCTGCTGGAGGGGGAGCAAGCACACCCTGACTTTCCCTGTGTCCAGGGTTTCCATGAAAGATACACAATGGGGCTGTCAGGGTCATTGACTCTGGCTCCCCAGGCTGCCATCCCTTGCCCTGGTTCATAGCCCATTGACAGACTCTGAGTGACCATATTCTCAGAAGACTGACCTGTCACAAGCGCATTTGTTGTGTTCTCAAAAAGCTTTGACAGGGAAGAGTGTCTGGATGTCCTGTCTGTTGATGTGAGTTCCTCTCTTCTGCCGGGTTCTCCTGCTTGGTGGCACCAGCAGGTGCAGGATCAGAAGAAGCTGTGGTGGACGCTGGAGAGACAGGTGCAGGGGCGGGAGTGGGAGCCAAAGCAGGCGCGGGGGGTGGGGCCTGACCACAGTTGGGGCTGTGCAGGAGCCAACTGCTCCAGGTGCTGGCCACTGGGCGGAGCCTGTGGCTGGGCGGGGCCCCAGGGTGGCCAAGTTCTTAGCGCCATGGTGAGGAAGGTGGTGGGCATGGGGGTGTCACATCTGCAGTGCAGAGAGGCCTCTTGTCCCACCAGAAACACTTGGGGGATAGGGCCGGCTGGCTAAATCGCTCAGGCGTGGGTTGCAGAGAGGCTGTGCGCATGCGCAGTCCCATCGTGACTGTTTTTGTACCAGGCTCAGTTGCAGGCCAAAGGTTTTCAAGAATTTACTGTTAAGCATTATTTCCTTTGTAAAGCTTTTCAAAGATGCTTTGATAAATGATCAAAATTCCCTTCAATTCTGAAGAGTTTTTCATTATATATTGATGCTGTAGTATAATAAAAGTTTTGCATCTGTTAATAGGATTTTTTTTCATTTCCTCTTTAAAAAAATATTTTATTTATTTATTGTTAGAGAGGGGAAAGGAAGGAGAAAGAGAGGGAGAGAAACACCAATGCATGGCTGCCTCTCACATGCCCCCAAGTGGGGACCCAACCCACAACCCAGGGATGTGTCCCAACCAGGAATCAAACCTGGGACCTCTTGGTTCGCAGGTCGGCGCCCAGTCCACCGAGCCACACCAGCCAGGACTTTCTCGTTTTCTTCTAATGTTTGAGTTGTACTGATTGATGTTTTGGATATGAAACCAACCGTGCATCTCTGAAACCAGATACCTGCCTGGCCAGGAGGGATGACACAGCTTATGCCTTGGTGCATCTTGGTGAAATTTTGTTTAGGACTCTGCACCTGAGTTCACATGAGAGAGCTTCCTGTGAGTTCCCCTCTTTGTAGCTCCCTTGTTTGGTTTCATTATCAATTTATTTCTGGCCTGATAAACTCTGTTGTGGGATGTGCCTTTCTTCTCTGTTGTCAGGGGATGGTTGTGTAAGGCTGTGATGCTTGTGTTGTGTGTATGTTTGTGTCTCTGTGTGTCTATGTATGTATGTGTTTCATACATGCACACATGCTCGGAAGCATTTACCAGTGAAGCTTTTCAGAGTCTGAGTTCACTTTGCAGGAAAATTTTTAATTACAAGTTCTATATAGTTAATACATACAACAATGCAGAGTTTCACATTTCACCCACATATGAGTGAAGTCGTACCGTCGTTGTGCTGTGGGGTCTGACTTACCCCATGTAACAGGACACACTCACAACGCCTCTGTGTCACCACACTGACAGGATTTCATCTCTGTGGCCGAGTGACACTCTATCACACAGGTTGCCACACCTTTATGTCAGCATGTGTGAGAGGACACTTAGGTGGTTTCTATGTCTTTGCTTTTTTCTTTTCTAAGATGTTCATTCACGGTTGTTAATGTTCCATTTTGTAGGTTTAATGTGTAGTATTTACACTATCATTCATTGAAAGCATTCTCTCACTTCCATTTTGGGTCTAAATTCACACATTGATGCTTGAGAATTTTGTTTCTTTGATTCCAAAGTGTATGGATGTTAGTTATTTCTAATTGCAGAATCAGGGGACTTCCAGAGGGTCCCAGAAGCTGCTGGGGGTCCATATCGGTTGTCCAGGCTGCTTGGGGCCACTAGCTGAGAATCCTTGGGGGCATATCTGTACCTTCTGGGGTCCCTGCAGGCCCCCTCCATGGAGTGGGGGGTCCAGGTACTCCCTGGGCTAGTGGATGGCCAGAGCAGCATACACACTGGGCTTATCTGGGGGCTTCCCTGATGGGAAGGAAGGGGGTGTCCTTGTCTCCTGTCTGAGGGTCATGAGGCTCAGCTGGGCGTAGGTCACATCCTGGGGGGCAGCAGATGCAGCAGCCTGGATCAGGGGGACAGTGAGAGGGGTGAAAGGTGGTTGGGGCTGGGGTGGCCTGGGGCCTGGGGAGGACGGGACACACTTGACTGTCAGTCATTTTCTGCTTCTCTGCCCTTCATGACCAGCAATCCCCATGAAAAAGAGGAAGGAGAGGTGGCCATTTCCTGCCTGAGCCTTGATGTTGAGGGAGTCACCTAGGAACATGTCACTCCTTGGGAGTCATAATGGGGTCCTGTTCTGCTGCAGAGAGACAGTGAGACAGAACCAGCGTGTCCTTGACCCCACAGTTGAAACCCTCCAATCACATGTCCACATGGTGTCAGACTTAAACTTCAGATCACATGAGGTCACTCTCCTGACGGAGTCTGCAGGGACTCCCTCAGCCTTGGGACTCCTGGTGCTTCTATGGATCTGACTCTTAACCTAACGCTCTGTCTCTTGCTCATTTGGCTCCAGCCACAGGGTCCATCTGGCTGAAGCAGCAGGTCCTGCCTCATGGCCTTTGCACCTGCTGTCTCGTCTGTTCTCCCCTCACCACACACTCCTCCTCCTGCTCTTGCCTTATTCTCCTTCACAGCACCTGGCTCTCCAGGATGCCATCTGCCTGTCTGCAGGTGTCTCCCTCACCCACAGGTGAGCTGGAGGAGGATGGGGACAGGCTGCCCAGGGCTGCACTGTGGCACTGACATGCAGCTTGTAACCAGTGATCTCTCATCACAGCTGCTGTGTGAATGAGGGATGGGAACCTGGGACCTGCAGGTAGTTCACTCATTCATGCCTCCTCCTGAGACCTGTAGCTGCATAGGGACAGAGGATGAAGAGCCAGCACAGGGGACCACCCAGGAGGGGTCATGAGATCATAGGAAAGTGGGAGGAGTTTGTCACAGCAGGGTGACCTGGTGCCCAGAAGGAGAGGTCAGTGTGGATGCTGCTGAGAATCAGGGGAGGTGGACAGGGAGTGACCATTGTAGTAAACTGGCAAGACAAAGGTCCTAGGCATCTTGGACAGGAGCAGGGGTCTCACCTGAGGGTCCAGCACCACCTTCTCCCTGGGCTGTGGATCCTTCATGGCAGCATCTGCTGGAGCAGAACAGGGAGTGTCTCCTGTCATGGTCCCTGAGATCTCACAGCTACAGACCTGCCAACTCCCAGATGGGTCACTAACCCAGGGGTGAGATGAGGGGTCAGGTCACTCAGTGTGGATTTCAGTCCCTCTCATCCCTGACCCCCACAGCCTCCCAGGCTGTCCCCTGCCCCATCGCCTCCTGAAATCCCTGTGCCCCCTTCCTGAGGGCAGCTGTCCCTTCCTCTCACAGAGGGGCTCTTCCTGGGTCTCTGCAGCTGGGCTGGAGGACAGACCAAAGCCTCTCTCTGGGCTGGTCAAGAGGGACAGTCTCAGCTTTGGGAAGGTAGAGCCCCCTCCAGTGTGATTCCAGAGGAAAGAAGGAAACTAATACTTGCTTGTGCATACATTTCATGTTACAGAAGATTAAAAACAATAAAAAATTAACTTACACTCATTTGTACATCTGTGCTGACATTGAGTGTTTTCTTTCTAGATTTTCTGATGTGAGATTCTAGAGAACTCTATTTCTCAGCTGACCTTCCCCATCTACTTGTTTCCTGTGGCAGGTTCTCTGAGTCCCTCTCTCCTGTGACCCAGGTCAACCCCTTCCTTACTCACCCAATGTCCTGCCTTTGCTCTGACGCCAATGTCGGAGGAAGAGGAAGAGGAGGAGGGAAAGCAGCAAGATGAGGGCCACTGAGACCCCAATCAGGACATTCAGGGACTGTTGGAGACCTTGGGCAGGAATGATGACATGAATGGGCCAAAATTGCCATTTAATGAACACGTACTGTGTGCGAGGCACAGCCTGGGGTCTGTCGTTCATCAACTCTGACCTCACAGCCCTCGTGCACCAGGCATGGATGATAAACCACCCAGTCCACTGCAGCTCAGAGAGGTTAGCCATGTGCCCCAGGTCACCAAGACTGGCCAGGGCAGGGCTGGGACTGGACCCCAGGACATGGGTTGCCTGTGCTGTCCTCCTGCTGCCCCCAGGTGGACACCAGCTCTGAGCTCTGGGCTCCTCATCTGCAGGGGCCAGTCCTCTCTTGCTTGGACCTGAGGGTCCTTCCTTATTACTTGTCCCCCAGCACAGCATGGATGCCGCAGGGACACGAGAAAGGTTTTTGGTGTGTGGTGAACCTGATGCCCCCTTGGAAGGTCTGCCTTCCTGAGCTCTGTGAGGCCCCTCATGTCACCTAATATCACTGTCAGCCTGTGAGCAGGAGGGGGCCAGGGGTGAACACACATGAACCCGACACTCAGAGAAGAGAAGGGACCACAGGCCCCACAGTAGGAGCAGCAGAGCTGGGACCTGAACCAGGTCTGACTCCAGCCCTTGTTCCCTCCTCTGAGTGTGCACCTGAGCTAAGGAATAGACCCGGATGCCCCAAACCTATGTTATTCCTGTCCTTCCATGTCCAGTGTCACTGTCACTGGTACTGAGAGGACAGTTTCCATAACATCATGTCCTGGGTACCTCCCTTCATGGCTCCCCTGCTCTGAGGAGGTCAGAACCAGAACTGAAAGGAAATCTAAGCTCTGGATCACGATTCTCTCCTTTTACACTTGGGGACACTGAGACACACAGAGGGGAACGGTGTGTCCAAGTCAGAGCCTCCAGAGGTGCCTGAACTTGCACAGGACTCAGCCCCACCCCCCATGGACACACCCATCACCTCCCCACAGAGACCCTCACTTACTGCTTTGCAGGCCTGACTCTCCTGGAAAGAAGGGCAATGTGCCAAACCTGGGAGCCCCTGCCACCCTGTTGTTCCCCTTAGATTTGTCCTTGACTTCTTGCCCACCTGGGACTCAGTCTGTCCATCTCTAACATCTGAGGGCATTGAATTCCCTGAGACAGTCAGAATGGCCCTTAAGTAGGCTGTGCTCTCTCTGAACAAAGGGCCCCACTAACTCACTGGTTGTGGAAAGGGGCCCAGTGGGTGGTGGACTGGGGCCTAAGAGGGTTCTTGGAAGGAGGACACAAGTGAGTTAGAGTCTGGTGTGGACCTTGGGGTCCCACATCTCTCAGTCTCTTCCCATGCAGCTGTGCTGTGGCCCACTGAAGCCCCTTATTCTGAGCACCTGACATCCTCTGTACTCAGGTGAGAGAGAGGGATGGACAGGTGTAGGAGGGTCTGTGAGGGGCAGATCTTGTCTGGGTGACCATCCCTGGAGCCCTGTCCCTCCCCTTGTAGCCCACAATTCTTCTGAGGAAGAGACCCTGAGCTAATGGCTCAGAAAGACAGTCAGGGGTCTTACCTCCTGAGATCAGGAGCTCTAGGGGCTCACTGGGCTGTGACAACAGGTAGGGGCTGCTGTGGTTTGCACTGTAGCACCTGTAGGTCCCTCCATGGGCTGAGATCACAGGGCCTATGGAGAATTCTGCCTGGTGCTGCCCAGCTCGGGACTGTGATCTGAGTCTCAGAGGGGGATCAGCTGCCCCCTCCTTGGACAGAAAAAAAGTGTCTCTCCAGCTCCTTGACTGACACAGCAGGGTCACCTTCTCTCCTGAGGCCACTGATGGGCCTGGATGCACTGAGAGGGAGGGTTTGTCAGGGAGCCATCCTAGAGAGAGAGAGGGGAGTGGGTGAGTGGCTGCCGTCCACCTAGTTGTGACCTCAGAGTCACCAGCTCCCTTTCTAGGACCCTCATTGCTGTCTCTGTTTTCTCTGCATTTCCCCCTCCCATTTCATCACCTATTTCTTTCTCTCTCCACCCCCCTCTCCTTGGGGACCCCACACCCCTTCTCCTAGCCATCACCATTTGAGACCCCCCAGAAGGGCCTGAGCACACTCTAGGTCCATGACAGAGCCCACTGGTTACTCACCTACCACCAGGATGTCCAGAGGGTCACTGGGGCGTGACCACTCAGAAGAGAGGCTGTGTCCACCATAGCACCTGTATGTGCCCCCATGGGTACTATTCACAGTGCCCAGGGGGAAATTAGCCTGAGGGAGCCCAGCCTGGGGCTGCAGGACAGAGCTCTGATGAAGGTCCTGTCCCCCGTCCTTGGACAGAACGAATCTGTCATAGCCGATGTCAGAATGACACTGGAGGGTCAGGTTCTGTCTAGAGACCACAATGGGGCCCTGCTGGGTCAGGAGGGAGGGCTTCCCTGAGCCACCTGAAGGGACCAGAGAGGAGTGACAGGGCTGTTCCTCCCATGAACCCTCTTCCTGGCCTGGTCCCCAGGTCCCACCATCTCTCTCTCTCTCTGTGTCTCTGACCCAGAAGCCCCTGTGCTCCCCTCACCCCACCTCTCACATGGAAGTCTCCCCTGCCAGCAAAGACCCCAGTAACTTGTCTGCTACCTCAAAACATGGAAGGACCAGCTTGGGACTTCCTCACCTGACACCAGGAGCTTGAGGTCGTTACTGGGGAGTGAGCACACCTGGGATCTGTTCCTGTAACAGCCATAGCATCTGAATGTCCACCAGCGGCTGGGGGTCACAGGGCCCACAGGGAACAGGGCCTGGACCTGCCCACTGGGCTGTCGCTTTGAGTCCAGGGTCCCGGAGAGCCTGTTTTCTCCTTCCTTAGTCAGAATGAACCTGTCAAATCCTTGTCCAGAGCCACACTGGAGGGTCACGTTCCCTCCTGAGGTCACAACAGGGCTGGGCAGGGCTGAGAGGCTGGGTTTGCTGTAGGATCCTAGGAGAGAAGGAGACAGCATGTTAAATGGGGCTCACACCTCCCTCGTGTTCCCAGGGCTGGACTGTGAGGGGGAGACACTCTAGAGCATCCCCCTCCCTGAGGATGGATCATTAGGCTGGGACCCCTGCTTTTCCCTCACCTTTTAGCACCAGCTCCAGGGGGTCACTGCACTCTGACCAGCCAGTGGGGCTGAGATAGGAGCAGTGATATTTCCCTGCATCATACTCTGTCATGTGTGTGATGGAGAAGTTGACCTTGTCCCCTGGATGAGGTGGCTCCTGTCTGCTCCAGGGCTGTGGGCTTCCCTCTTTATCCAGACGGAACTCCTGGGCCTGCAGGATCCCCTGACACCAGATAGTCACAGAGCTCCGCAACAGGGCCACAGGGCCTGGCTCAGCCCAGAGGGTGGGTTTGGGGAGGGTCCCTGGAAGGAATCAGAGCCTGGGTCAGCTCCAGTGCCCAGATCTCAGCCCCAACCTTCCCAGACATCCCTCATCCATTAACCCAGAACTTCTGTTCTCCATCCCCAGCTGCCTAATGGGGAAACACCTTGTCATTTATGTGGAGAGGCTCCTGGGACCCCTGGGGACAGACTCACCTGCCTGCACTGGGGTCCTCAGGTGCACGATCAGCCCTGCAAGAGAGTCCCTATGAGAGATGTGCCCTGAATCCTGAGAACAACCCTCCTCCCCAGGAGCCTCCTGAGACCTGGGGTCCTGACAGAGCAGGGCATCTCCTCCCCCCTCACATCTCACCAAGGCACAACAAGGCTGTGAGGCTGGGGGGCATGGCGTCTCCTGTCTGACCCAGCTGTGCAGAAGGAAGAGACCAGGGTGTGTTCAGTGTAGACAGACTCACAGGGTGTGGCCAGTGGGAGGTTGTCTGTCCCTATCACGAGGTTGTTACGTCACCAGACCTGAGGAAGGGGTACAGTGTGGCCCCAGGAGTCCGGTTCTCATTCTCTCGATGCAGGAAGAATTAAACCTGGAGCCTCCTGAGACGTCTTTGCAGGTGAGGTGACCCAGGGCATGTCCTTCCAGATCAGAGCCTCCCCCATGGGATCCCGTTCCTTCCCCACCCAACCATCAGCCCCTCCATGTGGTTCCTCCCCATGGACAGTGGTCACCCAGGCCCTGGAGACAGTGCAGGAAGATGGGGATCCTTGTGCCTGCAGAGCTCAGCTCAGCAAAGACAGGGTCCCTTCCTCACTGTGCAGTTCAGGCGAGTGTCACTGTGACAATGAGCACAAAGGACAGACTTGGGGAAGTGAGGGAAGGACACATGCCCCTTTCCCTGGCCCAGAGTATGGTTTTCTTTCTATCCGAGCCACCCTCACCTATTTCTCATTTTTTCTTAGCAACAGTGTCCACCCGCCTTCCTGGGGACAAACCTCTGAGAGACCCCTTCCCCCTCAGTGTCCCTTGTTTCCGGGTTCAAACGTCCTCCTCATGCTGTGGTCCTGCCTTCAAGCTTCAGGGGACATTGATTTGGGTTACAGTCCTGATTTTTACTTAAAGCAGATACTTACTTAAATATTCATCATCCAATGTCTGTGTATCCTTGAGTGGTAATGTTCAGTCCCTGCCTCAGTTTCCTCATCTGGATCCTATTGTCACAAAGCCCAGTCCCCACAGTGGCTGTGGGTGAGTGGTGCTGGTTCATGGCAGGGAAACTTCCATTTCCAGACCAGATGAAGATGTGAGTGGTCTGGGACATGAGAGGATCAAGGTGTCCAGGTCAAGGGCTGGATTGTTTTATCCACTCGAGACCTTGTCTGCTCTGAATACCAAGCACAGCTACTCACAATAGCTCTAAAGTATGTAGGTAGAGACACATGTGGGAAAAGAGAAGTTAAAGTTCCCCAAATGGAGAGGGACCCACATGGAATACAAAGACTGTGATTGAATGGGCCCCAGCACCGAGGCCCCTTTGCAGGATGTGATTCAGAGAGACTGGAATTAGAAATCGAAGATATGTGGAGACTAGAAAGAGGGTGTCCAATGGATCCTGGGAGTTTCAGGAGGAGCAGGGAGACTGATGTCTGTGTTCACCCTAGAGATTAAGGTTTAGGCATTTCACAGAGGGGCAGAGAGGCCCCTGCAGGGCCAGGGAGCATGCATGTGGTGTAGGGTGAAACATGTGTTTTTTTCTTTATGGCAACAGGGGGAGATTGATGGGAGCTGACTTTCAAATAAACACAATATTAAAGATCGGGGAAATACATTCATGGATTTGATTATAAATATAGAATTCTCTACTGATTTAAATTTTTATTAAAAGGCCAAGTGAAAGGGTCAGAGGGGAGTGACCCATTAGTATGACAAGAGGTAGTCAGGTCTGATCTGCTGGAACTCGTCACTGGTGTCAAAGGTTCTGGCTTCTGAGGGCTTGGCGTGTAGAATCAAAACCAACAGGGAAGGCCCACACCTTGTATTGGAATTATATCCTTTATTTGAAAAAGGGAAATGTCTTCAACTATCCTACTGAAAATAAGACATTCTCAAACACACCAGGTCTCCAGTATTTTATTATTTACATGCTCAGTGAAAGCAAATGAAAATAGGCACTTAAACCAAAAGAATAATAGACAAAAGTGGAGTCAGTGAGATGCAAACATAAGGAAAATAATTACAAAAGAAATAAACTTTGCAAGAATACATGTGTATATACATTCACATATATATTTACATTTAAGACAGTTTAAAACATTTGCAGTGTGTGTGAGTGAGAAAGAAAGGATATAGACACACACAGAGCATTGGAAATTAGATACCAAGAGTTAAATTAAGTTAATGTGTAATAACCTTTTCTTATTCAGAGGACAGGAGGAAGCAAAAGTGGTTCACAATCATAAATTCCAATTCTAACAGTGGTGGAAACTACCCTAAGTAGAAATGCAAATACAAGGCCCAGATTGGTTGATGTAATAATATATAACACAGTCAATTCAAAATTGGTCTGGAAAATTTTAAAAAGGACTATTTAAAATCAAACTTACTATTTAAATAAAAAATTGGCAAATATTCAAAATAATTTGAATAATTTGAATAATTTTATCATCAGAGATTGAGACTTCTGCACAAGATGGTGGCAGAGGTTAACACGGAACTCACCTCCTTCCAAAACCAATGCCAAGTGACAACTAAACTACACATCAATTATCCCTCAGAGTCACCTGAAGGGTAGTTGAGTGGAAGTCCCACAACCAAGGGTTTAAAAAGAAGCCACACTGAGACAGGTAGGAGGGCTGCAGGCATGCAATGAGCTGGTGCCACACCCATGTAGACAGTTCATATTTGGGGGTTATACCTTTACTGTGGAGGTTCCCCCTATGGAGTAAGGGGTCCTGGCCTCACACCAGGATCCCCAGCCCAGGGGTCCAGTGATGGGAAGAGATGTCCCCATCACTCTGGTTGTAGAAACCAGCAGGGATAGTGGCCGAGTGAGGCCAAGGCAACTGGAGTCTCAGGTGTCCTATTAATGGGCCTGTGCATGGACTTGCTGGAACTCAGTTACTCTGAACTCCAGCACTGGGGCAGCACTGTGAAAGGCATCAGGGACATATGGGGAGGAAGTGAATTGTCTGACTTTGGGACCCAGGCTGGAGGGTCATCTTCTCCCAGACACACATGCTGAGTGCTCCCCACAGGCACAGGCAGGTGCCAAATCTGAGTCTCCATCAACCTGGCTCCCACTGTTCACCGCACCCTGGAGATTCCCTGAGGCTCTGCCCCACCCAACTTGTCAGCACACTCCAGCCACTTCCAGGGGGCTGTCATACAAACAGCCTGCCTTGGCTCACACTAAAGTCCCTCAGAGTCTGCAAAACCAAAACTGGCAGTGTCTGGGCTCAGTGTGCCCTGAACCTCAGCTAAGTGTCCCTAGGCCAGGCAGTAATGGCAGCCAGCCTCAGGGAGCAGTGTGGCCTCTCCCTGGTACCTACAAGCCCAGCACAAGTGGCAGCCATTAGCAGATTTCTTGGCAGGTCATGCTAGGTGTCACCAGGTTGGGCACAGATGGTAGCTGACCTTGGCCTGCACGTCCCAGGAGGCCTCAAAGCCAACACACCCAGTGGACAGCTTCATACTACACCAGAGCACCACCTGATCACCCCTACCCGGGGCACACTCAAGGGGTGGAGTCAGCAGATACCGGAGCCTTGCTGAAGTGACTTCTGCTACATGGGGTCCACTCCCTCCCAGCTGTTCCTCTGCTGTGGTTTCTAGCCCTGCCTTTGCTGATCACCAGCCTGCAGGAATTCCTCTCGTTGACGTGCCAGCAACATCTTTGCAAGCCTGCCATGATTGGCACAAAATGTACAAAGAGATGAAAACCAAGAACCTACAGCCAAGATTACTCTATGCAGAAAAGCTGACATTTAGAATCCAAGGACAGATAGAGAGCTTCCAAGCCCAGAGGAAGCAAAAGGAGTTTATCATCTCCAAACCGGTATTAAACAAGAAATGCTAAAAGGTCTTCTTCAGGTAGAAAAAGAAAAAAGCTAAAATTTTGAAATAAAATGGAAATAAATACATGTCTATGAACCATTAGTCTCAATGCTAACAGAGAACACAATCCATTAAAAAACCATAGGGGAGCAGAATGAACAAGGAAACAAGACACACTGTCTGCTAAAGAATCACTTCAGGTGGAAATGCACACACAGACTGAGAGCAAAAGGATAGAAAAATATATGTTCTGAAAATAAAAACAAAAAGAAATTGGGGTACCAATACTTAAAGCTGACACAAGCTTCTTTCTAACAAAGGCTATAACAAGAAGGAAAGAAGGACTGGCACTGAGAAGATTTAGGAAATAGAAATGTGTAAATGTGTAGACAACACCAGACAGCAATAGAAAAAAAAGCAAAAATCTTTAACATGCAACTTACAAAAGTTGCTATTCACATGTATGGTGAACTTTAAAAGGTTTTTCATCTTTATATTTCACCAGAGAGTGAACATTAACCCACAGCATTGTATCAATACATACATAGAGTTGCTCTCACAGTACTTTTCTTTCATGTAAATGTTAGAATCAGCTTGTCAGTGTTAAAAGCATAATCTTGTGGTGCTTCATGTTAACTGGGTGTTTTTCAAAAGGTCCCTGAGAAGATATTTATTCTTGAAACTGGGATTTGAGGGTCTGAATTTGTTTTGTCCTGGAAAATGCAGAATTGGGGTCACTCATGTATCTCAGGCTCATCCACACAGATACTCCATTCTACCCAGCAGAGTTTCACCTCCTTCCCAACAGGACACTGTTTGTGAAACAAGAGTATTTCACAGTTTTAGGCTACAGCTAATCCTTTTGATGTATTTGACAGAATTCAACAAAGAATCAGCCCCCAGGCACTCATGGGTACTCTTCTGTGACTGAAATGAGTATGAGGGGAAATGTCATTTCTGGGTCAAGGTAAGTCTATCTTACCATTGTCTTCAGCTGAATTACTACCCTACATCCAAGAATCTCCATCCTTGGGCCTTAACTGAACTCTAAGTTCCTGTTACGTCTTTTGAAGCAAGATGTACTTTGTGCTGTGGAATGTATTCTGGCTTCTCAATCCACCCAAAGAGCAAATGTCTACATGCGGTCAAAATGTAGTTGTCGTGTATATCAACTATGGAAGAAAGTGTGTACCTATACAATATCCTGCACAAAATATGGAAACCAGGTAGTCCTACTTATATTCTCCTTGTACATAAGTTCAAGGACTCCTGGATAAGATATAGAGGTTGGCGGACCCGTAAATGTGTGGAGCTGTCCATTACCCAGTGCTGAATTCACTCCCAGTCTCTCAGAATTAACAGAAGAAAGGAGAGGTGGTT